AATTAGGCTTTAATATTTTAACCCTAGTCTGTTCAAACATGTATGTTCCCCCAGGAATTTAATTAGAATTTTATAATTTTGTTTGCTATTTTTGTTGAATTTTGCAAATTGCTTGTGTTTGTGTTGTTCTCTCTTGGGTACCTTTGCTTGTTTGGCTTGGTTGGTGACTTTGGAGCTTGCTTGGATTGGAATCCTTTTTAGGAGTGTTGCACCCCGAAATTTGACCAACTGGTTCCCATATCTGGTTTATGTTTCGACGCATTTTGCATTCGCATTCGCATACTGCATGCGTTGTATTTTCTTAGTCAGATTGATTTTATCAGGGATTACAGCCCCTGGCGTTTCAGGCAGTTCAGGCCGGTTTGAATAAGTGTATTTTGAGAATTGGTGTTCGTTCCCTTGGTTTTCAGGCCATCTCGATGCCCGGGTTTCGCTGCGGTTGCGCAATTGTTCTTTAATCGGCTTTCTGGCATTTTTTAGGATTTTTCTGTCATTTTCTAGATTTTTAATGCATTAATAGTTTTTTAATGGGTTTATTTGTTTTTGTAGATTTTAAATAGGTTAGTATTTTGTTTTATAGAATTTAATAGATTCTCATAAATAGTTTTTAGATTTTTAAATAGATATTCTTCTTTTTAGATTTAATAGATCTTAGCCCATTAGATATTAGTTTAAATAGAATAGTATAGTTTTTTTAATATAGATTTTTAATATAGTTTTGAGAAGATTAATGGTTTTAATAGATTTTAATATGATTTTTAGAATATTAATAGATAATAGTTTTTTAGAATAATATAGTTCTATTGGTTTTAATAGAGTTTATTAGAATAATAGATTTTTGTTTTTAAATAGAATTAATATAGATTTTTTAGTTTAATAGAATATAGTTTACATAGATTTTTTAGATTTTTAGGGTACAGTTTTATTAATAACAGGATGTATTAATTAGTTATTAATCATCTTCATTAGATAGTCAGTTTTTAATTCATTTTCGTTTTCCAATTAGCCTCATTAATTAGATTTTCGTTTTATTAATTGTTAGGTTAATTAGGGTTCAGTTCATTAATCATTTCGTTTAGCCCTTAATCTTTTTTTGTTTGGCTATTAATCCATTTTCGTTTTAGTAATTAGTTTGGGTTAATCAAATTCAGCCCTTTAATCCCAAGTCCATGTTCCTTAATCACGTTCAAATCAGAGTTTAGTCATAATGGGCCACAATTATACAATTATCCAGAGTTCAAAAAAGCCCAGAGTGATGCCACTTGTCACTATAAAGGCAGTGCCACACGTGTATCCCAATTTTCACCACCTCATCCACTTCAGTTTCTCTCCGCCAGCCACAACACATATCACCATGCCAACGCACACTCCACTCACACCTTCCACACACACGTGGCCGCCATGCAGTGATTCCACCGTCACACGCGTCCTCTCAGAGTCCTCTCTCTGCATGCGAGGTTCCAAGTGGATCCCTCTCGTCACTCGCCGGAACATCCCACCGGCCGACATGCAAATGCCGGCGGCCACCCTAACTACTCACCGGCGACCACTCCAACTGTCACCGGCCACCGTAACCTCCCGCCGGACTTCCTAACCACCCGCCGGAAACTGCATTTTTGCCAGATTCATCATTTTTCTCCATCAATTTCTCCAGGAATTCCCAAATCACCACCATCTTCTTCAAGCGCCTTCATCCCGTTCAAGACGTTTTCCAGAAAATTCCTACGATCTTCATCGTTCTGCACTTATGTTCATCTTTTCTCCAGATCCACATGCATCCACGAACGGATCTTCAACAAACTTCATCGCAGTTTACATCATCTCCAAATTTTCGCGTGTTCATCAAATCTTTCTCCGAAGATCTTCCATCCAAGAACCTTCAGTGTTCATCCGAGCCTCAAACGATCATCATCAAGAATGTTGAAGAACATTCGTCATCGCTCGTCATCACCTTCGTCATCTGTTCCTCGACGTCTCCAGAAATCTCTTTGCCAGAACTTCGTCAAGTTCATCGTAACTGAGTCTCCGATCTTCAACATCGTCAGATCCACTTCATTGTTCGTCAAGGTTGATCTTCATCGTGGATCTTCAAGCGTCCACGAAGAACTCTCCAGAAGTTGATTCTTCAGATTCTTTGCAAACTCCACCATCGCTCATCAGTGGTTCCAGGTTTTGCTTCGGTCTCTTCTGATTATAGTAGTTTGTTATTTTTAGATTGTAGAACTAGGCAATGCTTGAGTGAGAGAGATGAACAGAGTGTTCTTTGTGAGATGAAATGGAGAGAACTGAGAGGTTAGTTTGAGAGAACGCATCAGCGCCGTTTAGGGTTTCTGAGGGTTAGGGGTGAATAGTGTATTGGAAGATGATAGAGAGGAGAATTAGGGTTTTAGTTGTTACTAGTGCTGAGTTAGAATGAATCTCGGGCCTTAAGCCCAAATGCAAGGTTTGCTTATCGTACCCCCTCGTCGGTTCAACATAGCCTGCATCCTTTCGATGTTGGTAACCTTCTATTTGTGTTTGTCCTATCATCCTTTTGGTGGTAGTGACTGGTGTGTGTTTCGCTCCATCATCCTTTTGGTGGTGGGTCTGGCATTTCGTCGATGTCAGATTGCGCGATGTTTTGTTTATGTTTTCGCTCTACCATCCTTTCGGTGGTAGGTCTGGTATTTCGTCAATATCAGATTGTGCGATGTTTTGATTGTGTTTTCGCTCCATCATCCTTTTGGTGCTGGGTCTGACATTTCGTCGATGTCAGATTGTGCGATATTTTGTTTGTGTTTCGCTCTGCCATCCTTTTGGTGGTGGGTCTGGCATTTCGTCGATGTCAGATTGCGTGATGTTTTGTTTATGTTTCGCTCCATCATCCTTTTGGTGGTGGGTCTGACATTTCGTCGATGTCAGATTGTGCGATCGTTTATTTGTATTTCGCTCCGTCATCCTTTTGGTGGGGGGTCTATCATGGTCATTAATGATAGATTGTGCGATATTTTGTTTGTGTTTTCGCTCCATCATCCTTTTGGTGGTGGGTCTGACATTTCGTCGATGTCAGATTGTGCGATCATTTATTTGTATTTCGCTCCGTCATCCTTTTGGTGGGGGGTCTATCATGGTCATTAATGATAGATTGTGCGATATTTTGTTTGTGTTTTCGCTCCATCATCCTTTTGGTGGTGGGTCTGACATTTCGTCGATGTCAGATTGTGCGATCGTTTATTTGTATTTCGCTCCGTCATCCTTTTGGTGGAGGGTCTATCATGGTCATTAGTGATAGATTGTGCGATTTGTTTTGTATTTCGCTCCATCATCCTTTTGGTGGTGGGTCTGACATTTCGTCGATGTCAGATTGTGCGATCGTTTATTTGTATTTCGCTCCGTCATCCTTTTGGTGGGGGGTCTATCATGGTCATTAGTGATAGATTGTGCGATTTGTTTTGTATTTCGCTCCGTCATCCTTTTGGTGGGGGGTCTATCATGGTCATTAATGATAGATTGTGCGATAGTTTGTTTGTGTTTCGCTCCGTCACCCTTTTGGTGGGGGGTCTATCATGGTCATTAATGATGGATTGTGCGATTTGTTTTGTGTTTCGCTCCGTCATCCTTTTGGTGAGGGGCCTATCATGGTCATTAATGATAGATTGTGCGATGTGTTCTGTGTCTCACTCCGACATCCTTTTGGTGGGGGGGGGGGGGGGGGGGGCTATCATGGTCATTAATGATAGATTGCACGATATTTTGTTTGTGTTTACCCTATCATCCTTTTGAGGGTAGTGGTTGGTGTGTGCCCTATCATCCTTTTGGTGGTGGTGGCCGTGTGTGTTTTATTCCATCATCCTTTTGGTGATGACGACCTTTTGCCTATTATGTACAGTATACTCAGAGGTTTACCTCATCCAGCATCCTCAATTCCCAAATTTTCCTTTTCTTTTTGGACAAATTCAGGGTCTTTTTTTGTATCTAATTGTCTCCTACCTTGAAAGAGTGAGTGTCATAGACATTCATCTTACACAGTCTAAGCCAATTAGATAGGGGCATCTGTCATACCCCAAATTTGTCCTACCTATGTATTTATACACCCATCAAAAATCAAGGAAAATATGTCGCCTTTGCTTGTGGTTCAAGGTTGTGTAAAGTGACTTGGACAAGAGAAGAGTATTATTTAGTGTTTTTTGATCAAATTTCGGTTATGCAAAGTTTGGTTATAAGATCAAGGTCCGGATATGATTCAGTCAAGTAGTGCAGGCTTGAGCTATGAATTAAGGTTTATGCTTATTCAAGGCATATGTATGTTAATCAAGTTATCAGGTCATGTTGTGCAGGATATGAGTTGCTTCAGACTAAGTTCAAATTAATTCTAACCTTGGTCAAGTAAGCTGCGAGGCTAATTGATTTTTAGGCAGTGCGTCTAAAGCGTTTAGATTTGAGATCAAGGTGTAAGGGAACGTGCGAGATTGTTTTCAATTTGGAAATAGTTCTTACGTCATTCCTCTTAGAGATTATGGGCTGGTATACTTTAGGCGTGTGCGAGATACATGAGATATTGGCTTTGGTATACCACGACAGTCCTCAAAATGTAATCCCACTTTATGATGAGAGATCTGTTTTGCCCTTAAAGGATGCAACGTGGATGGCGTTCTGTGAAAGCTTAATGAAATATTTTAAGAAAAGTCTTCACACTTAAACAAGATTGGTTGCATGCATTTTATTTGGTTAAACTTAGCGAAAAGCTTGAACATTCATGTGAAATTGCACTATCGTATGACGCAAAAGCTTTTGCTTTGAATACATCGGCTGTTGATCCTATCTTCAGAACGCAAGCCCTAACGCTTCAAACTCTTTCACTTCCATGGAATATCCGCAAGAACATGCTGCTTCATGACGCAAACACTATATAATCAAATCAACTATCACTCACAATTTATGCTTCATGTCATCATCACAATCACACATCATTCATTATACTTCTATAATCCACCAATCCCAATCTCATCTTTGATACTGTCATGAGCAACTGTTACAAGATCAATGGCTGCAACAATGAACCCAATATTTTGGCTATCATTTTTGACTTAGATGGCACACTTCTCGATACTGAAAGGGTTACAAGGGGTGTGTTGAATGAGTTTATGGGAAAGTACGGGAAGGAAGTGAATAAGGAAAGGGAAGAAAAAAAGAGGCTAGGGATGACACATAAGGAATCAGCGGCTTTAATTGTTAAGGACTATCAGCTCCCATTAACACCTGACCAATTTATCAAAGAAATTAACCCTCTCTATATTCAAAGGTGGAGAGAAGCGAAAGCGTTGCCCGGTGCTAATCGAATCATCAAACATTTTTTTTGAAAAATGGTGTACCGATGGATCTTGCTTCAAACTCCTTGAGAGAATACATATATGCAAAAATTCCTTACCATAAAGGTTGGACAGAAAGCTTCTCTGTAATTCTAGGAAATGATCAGGTTAAATTCGGGAAGCCTGCTCCAGATTTATTTGAAGAAGCTGCCAAGAGAATGGGTGTAAATGCAATGAACTGCCTTGTGTTTGAAGATTCCTTGGTTGGTGTCAAAGCAGCTCATGCTGCAAAAATGAAGATAGTCGCTGTACCGTCTCGCGGCGAATCGGATTGTTGTAAGCTGGCAAATGTTACTCTTAATTCACTTTTAGAGTTCCAACCTGAGCTATGGGGCCTTCCACCTTTTGATGATTAGGTTGATAACACATTGCCTATTGAGCCGATTCATGTGAGTGGTTTGTATGCTACAGGATCTCTCCTCGAAACCAAAGAGAATGTAGCATTTGGTATTCCTGATCAAGTTGTTGGGATTTACTTCGGTTGGGCCAAAGTCGATACAAATAGGAACTTCAAGACATTGGTTAGCATTAGTTTGGACTTGTCAAGTGCTTCCTACAAAAAAGTAAATGTTTGGTTCATTGATGCAAACACCGACATTAAATCTGAGCAGCAGATGCAAATCTGTCTTGTTGGCTACATAAAAGCACTGCAATAACAAAACCCCAGTAAATTGAATGAAACCGTAAAAATGGATCAATCTCAGAATCAGCGATTACTAACAACCGCACCACCACCATCTCGTTCTGTCCAATTCCACCCCGTTCGAGTACCGATTCTCGATCTCTTCACTCTCTACTTAGGACTTGGAAGAAACAGTCGTAACAAACCGGATGACTCACTCCGCGAACCACCTAACAAAACTCAAAAGCGGGTGCATGCTATTAACAGAGAGCTTCCACCGCCGAATGAGCAATTTATTTTAGATTTTGAGCAACTTCAGAGCCGGTTTCCGGACCATGAGCAGTTACGTTTTGTGGCTGAAGCTGTTCTTATACCATTGGTTACACAATGCAGTGGTCATAGATCGAGATCAGACTTTCTAATTTTTATTTTGCGAAGCTCGAGCGGTTCCCAGGTGCACAAGAAGTATCCTGCAACTACCACAATTGCCAAACCAGCCACAACACAGAACTAGCAGCAAGTGAGATAAATAGCTAGCATTACAAACATGCTACAAATGGTACCTGCACAAAATCACACCAACAACCACTACCATGAATGTCGCGACAATCGACACCATCGCATAAATTTAATTAGAAAGTAGAAAGAGATTCGAGATTCATACTGATTTGAGGCAAAAGAGAATCGCAACAGAAGACCAGTTCAAAGCGAAACGGATCGATTACAACGGGAACACCGCGAAGCCAGTGGTTATCACGAAAATCCTTTCGTCCACCTCTTTCGAACCATAGTAGCGCAAATTTCAGGCCTGCAAGACATACACACATCAAACCGTATCAGCTTGCATAAATTGGTACCAAGTGAGGACAAAAACGTGTAAATACCCAACACTACTCAAAACCAACAACCATACACCACAAGCAGCCAAAAACTGCTACACACCACTCCAACCTTCATAGCACATCAGACAACATCCTGCCATTACAACTCCACACCAGACAAATTCTGCGCAAATGGTACAAAAAACCTGCAACCTGCAGTATCAAGCCTCCCACTCCTAACTTATAACAACAACAATTAATAGCCTGCATCACAGAGGGGGGAGAGAGCAGAGGACTCACTATCACCATAGGGCCAAAGGGAGGATATCATTTTCGGGAGAAAAACCATAGTCCTTCCTCAAAAAATTCACAAACCTCTCCTCCTCCAAACCTTCATTTTGTTTCCTTCAGAACTCGACAAACGAATGATGATAGGAACCTCCAACCCACTCAATAGCTATCGAGAATAACCGCAAGCCTACCTCCACCGTTTCCTTTCTTCAATCCTCCGTCTCACCTCTCCAAACCCTCACTAAAACGTCAACAAATCCTAACCCATTACCAAATCATTTCAAAACCTCCAAAAATAGAACCCTTATTACATCAGACCCTTCTTCAACCAAATAACAATAACCTTCTTCGACTTTCTCCTTCAACAAACCATAAACCCTCTTCTTCAACAAAATCACCACCAACAAAACCAAACCTGACCTTAATCTCAAATTAACCTTCATCAATCCCAACAACAGAGAATCATAAACCCAAATACCTACTCCATTTTCTTCAACCAGAATAGAAATGGAGTGAAAACAAGAAACCCAGAACAAGAGAGAAAGTTGGGGATGAAACCACGAGCTATTGTTGTGATGCGCGAGGATCTGACCGATGCTGATGTTCCATTCTTTCCTTCGACTGCGATGAAGTCGTTGTTTGCCATGCTTTGATTTTAAGAAGAAGGATAAATCGTGTCGCCTTTGGTTTCTGAAAGGTGATCGTGTTTCAACATATTTCCATGGGTATCATAAACATGTGGATGTGTTTGATCTTTCATTTTGTTTTAAGAGAAGGGAGAATTGGTTTATCGTTGGGCTTTAGAGCCACTTCTGCATTCTATCAACACTATGTTTTTTTTTCATGGTACCCCTGTTTGTGTTTTTTTCTGGAAAACGGTTGAATGGGCCTCACGGCCCATAGTGAAACCTTTCATTTCTACCTTTTTTCCTATTTTCTCACCCCTAACTGTTTTGGACACCCTTTTCTGTTTTAATAAAGATTATTTGTTTGGGTGATTTGTTTAAAGGTATTTTATGTATATATATGTTTGTTTCTATTTGTTTTCGATTATTATTGGTAAAACTTTTTGGTAAATAATATGGATTATACCTTCGACTACTCTTTTGTTCATTGCCGATTTTATTTTTGGTCGATGACGATACCCCAAGTTATAACTTTGTCAAATTTTTTGACGAGTAATGACAAACCCGAGACCGTTTTCTTTTTTAACTTCTTTCATTTTCGACTTTTATCAATTTCTTGCTTATCTTGGTCAATTGACAATTTTTAAATTATTATCGGTCAAAATTTTTGTTAGATGATAATTTTAGTCGAGACTTTTCACTTGCACTTCAAATTATCTTTTAAACATTTTCTCGAAAAAAAACTCCAAAAGAGGGAGATTCTTGAAATCTAGCATTTCTTGGATCTTCGAATGAGCAACTCTCGAGACTCGCTCTTGAGTTGTTGTTCATTCAATCTTTTGATTTTCTCAAGTATTCTCAACGTCTTTTGATCAAAACCCCGTAAGAAAGATGCACTTGGAGTCTAGCATTCCTTGTGTCTTCGAGTGAATAATTCTCGAAGCACGCCCTTTGAGTTGTTATTCACCCAACCTCTCGAATTCAATCATTTTTAAACATTCTCCTAAGTCGAATGCTCGTCCGCATTCGCAACCCACACTTCCTTCACAACTCCTCGTGGTCTCGATATTAGGAGCACCCTCAGGGACTAATATCCTTTCTCACAACCTTAACACTTGACACGTCGTCAAGTCGGTTCCATCTTCGATCAAATCCTCGACACGTCGTCGAGCCAGTTCAAAACAACTTCCTTTTGGCCTCGCATGCCATTCTTCGATTCGATCATTTCACAAACATTTCCGAAACTTGCGAAAGAGGGATATTCTCAGAATCTAGCATTCCTTGGATATTTGAATGAGTAACTCTCGAGGCGCGCCCTCGAGTTGTTATTAATTTATTCTTTCGATTTCAAAACATCCAACTCTTTATCTTCAATTTATTCAGTCAATTCCCGAAAGAACTGAGTTCTTGGAGTCTCGCATTCCTTGGATTCTTGAGTGACAAGCTCTTGAGACGCGCTCTTGGGTCGCTTGTCAGTCATCCTTTCGTCTCCTTCTCAAAACTTTCAACTCATTCAACCTCATCTTTCGTGGTTGTTACCACGAACTACGGACGCTCTGATTCTTTATTCATTTTTGAATAAAAGATACGTAGGCATAAGATTGCGATAATCTTTGGCGAGCACAATCCCCTCCATCTTCCACTTCCCCTATTCTTTCCCGTAGTCGAACTACGACGCTCTGATTTCTCATTCTCGTCCGAATGAGCATACGTAGGCACAAGGGCCCCAATCCTTGGCGAGCACCCTATCTTCTAACCACCCATCTCTCCTTAGCGCCTTTAACCTTTTACCCTATCAATTCTACCTTTAACAACGAGAAGAAACAAGTAAACCTAAACAACACTCCCCACAATTACCTTAAGAGGTTCCCGTCGAGTACGACGGACGTGAGGGGTGCTAATACCTTCCCCTCACGTAACCGACTCCCGAACCCGGAACATGGTTGCGACAACCCTGTTCCTATCTTTTTTTTCGTTTTTAGGAGGTTTTCTCGATATTTTCCTCTCCCGTTTATTCGGGAAAAATAAAGTTCGGTGGCGACTCTGTCGAACCGCATTTCCGCGCCTTTCGCGCGAGGGTCGCGTTTTCCGAAATGTCTCCGTGATTTTTCGAGGTGCGACAACTGTCAGAGTTGGATGTTTTTCAGAGCTGCTGCTGTAGGAGCTGGTGTGCTGTCAGAGCTGGTTTTAGGGTTTATTTTTCTTTGTTGTATTGTTTGTTAATTTTCCCCTTAGGTTTGAAGTGAAGCCGTTTCACTTTGCCTATTGTTTTCTCAGGTTCGAGGTTGAGTGGGACTCCCTTGCCTCACTTGTACTGTTGCATTCATGCATTTTACTGCTTTACTGTATATATGCTGTTTCTTTTTGTTTATCCCCTAGGATCTCTGTTTCTCTCTGCGCAAGAGAGAAATATGACAGACATTAGGTGTTAATCCATGCATGACAACATTAGGATAGTTTTGATCCCCATTTTAACCATAGGGTTTTAGAGTTCTTTCTCTTCTATCTCAAAATCATTCAAAACACAGTAATAAGATTTCAAATATCAATAAAAAACAGTTCTTGCATAAAAGACTGAAAACCAATCAAAGTGTCATTTTTGTCCGCTTGGACCCGTAATCAGGAGAAAAC